GCAAAGATGGATATTTTTTAACTTCTACAAATTATTGAAGGAATTCCTGAACTCAGGTTCAAGTACATGGGATCATACCCCTCTGATAAAGTATCTCAACTAACAAAAGATTATTTTTCAAGGGTTGGGGCGGGAGGGGGGTCTGTTGACTTGAGGAGCTGGTAAAAAATGCTGTTTTTTGGGCATTTTTTGGAAAAATACTACAAATTGGTCGCCCCTGGATGAACGTGTTTGTTCGAGTTTTGCAGAAAATTGCAGAAATTAGAGTCATTTTTACAAAATTTTTACAAAATGGATTATAATGGATTTAAATTTTTCCAAAATAATCGATTATTATCGATTAAAAATCGATTACGTGGTCTAAATTTGACATGATAATCGATTATATTGACAACATTTTGATCAACAAAAATCCATTATAATCGATCATTACCCATGAAACTTCGGTTCGGGTAAGTCTCACAACGTTCCACTTTGCCTTTGCGTTCAATGTAAACAAGAACGGTCGGTTGTTGTGCTGATAGAGAAGGAGACTTTCCGAAAACCAATTTGTCTCTTTTCTTTGTTGGCAACCTAACCTGTCTTAGTACTGTCCTGTACTAAGGCTCAAAATATCTTATCGTTTGTACCAGATTGTCCAAACTTTGTACATTTGCTTAATTTTTTATATTTTAGGTGAAGTTTTTCGATTGTACGCAAAGCATATAAACCTCTAGCTTTCCTTAAAAAAGAGCTGTTCTTTAATATGAAAAACAAGGGCATGGAATGCTGGTGCCATTTTTACAGATTCGTATAAAAAATATATACAAGAATCAATTTGTGCAATAAACCAACAAAATAGAAAACTTATCATGGCATGAGCACCATCTTGTGCAAGCGCAGAAGGTATTTTAACCTTTTGAAGCACTGCTGAGAACTCTTTGTTAAGTACTATCGCATATGGAACTGATTTTTAAATCTAAGTAACGTAATTCATCCAGAAAAAAAAGAAAAAAAATGTTTACAAACAACTGAAATTCCGAAATCTTACAGTTCACTTATCTTGCATATGTTTATAATACATTTTCAAAAATAAATACGAGCAAAGAAAAGTAACAAAAAACAGATTATATACCTGAAAATTCTATTTTAATTCAATTGCTTTATTTCAAATATCAGGATGTTTTTCTTGTGTGTACGTTTTTTAGTTCAATGATTTTTTTAAAGTAACTATCTCAAAACTTTTCTGGTAGAAGTATTTGTTGAATTAGTTGCAACCAATTAAAAGTGTATACCTGATTTTAACATACGGTTGTCTATAGACTGTTTAAGCTCAATTAAATTTTCTTTATTGATATTCTTATTGAAATGAATTAGAGAATTATATAGTGCCCATATTCGTACAGTTATTAAATTTTTGTTATTTCGTGTTGATCTCTTTTTGTTTCTACTGATTTTATCTTTCCTGTGGTTTCGAGTGATTTGTCCAATTTTTGATTTAAAAACATGAAGATGACGAAGTGAAGAACTTTATTTCGTCTTATTACTTGTAAAACGTTCAAAGCGGTTTTTTTTGGTAACTCCGTATACTAATTCACCATATTGGTATATTGGTTGTATAAACTACTTGTAAATTCTAATGAGAACAAATGAGCTGGTAAACTATCTTGTTTGATAGAAAATGAAAATGAATCGAGCTCATTTTTTTACTGATTCAATATGTTGGTTCAAGGTAACATTTTGCTCCAAAATTAATCCATGATATTTAACTGCACTTTTTACTCTTACCGCGTTTTCGTTCCAGGTAAAACTTTCAAAATTTTTTATTCTGTTGGTATTTCTAATCTATGTTTCTCCTATGTTTGTTGTAAATTTTTTAATTTCCATCCATTCTGATTTTAGTTCCAAATCAGATTTTTAAGTTCTTTAATTTCGTTCGTTGAGTGTTCAAAAATATTAGTGTCATCGGCATAAAGAATGAATTCTCTGTGATGTGGTATGTTGGGAAGATCATTGATATAGACAAGAAAAACTAGAAAAAACTCAGTTTACCATGAAACTAGTCACAGGTTTGCATACAAATCTTTAAACCTGGCATGAAAAAGTCAAATTACTTTGTCTAGCTTCATAAAAAATTAATTATTGTTGACTCAAAAATTGTCAAATTTTCAGGCAACTTCGATGCTCGTGTTTTGTACAATTTTGCCTCAAAATAAGTGACCTTGTTGGGAACCACCGGGTCGCAAATTAATCTTGCGAGGGCGAGTTTTTGGTCGATCGTATTCCTTGAAGGAACTTTGGCAGGAATTCGAATAAATTTGTCATTCTGGCTGAAAATTGTTGACGAAAAAATTCAATTGTTGGTATAGTTCGTGCCGAGGTTTCAGACGTTTTTTTTCAACAGTTTCAACTGGAGTTTTCTCCAGCGCTGCAAAAACCTCCAATACTAAATTATAATTAGAAATTAAGATAGGTTTTTAGCAATAGAATATATAGCTGAAATAAGTAGGCTTTTTTTCCAGTGCTGTTCGGGAAATTGCACACTGACCTTGCAGAAATCATCCTCTCCAATCATCAATGTTGAAGTGGTCATATCAGTGAGAGGAAAAAAACTTTCAGTACTGAAGCAGTAATTTATGATTTATCTCAGAGCAGGGCTGATTTTTTTCTGTAACAGTGCTGAAGAAAATGAATTTATAATTTATCTCTGTTTGGTTGCAACCCGAGATTATGTTTTCAGTTAGAATTAGAACTGCTCTCCAGGTCTTAAATGAAAAGAAAAATTTGCGTTAAATAAGTCAGTTTGAAATTTGACAAATTTACCTGGTTTGAATTAATAAAGATTATATTCCCGTGTTGACCAAAAATGCTAATCAAACACTTCTTATACATTTCCATTAGTACAGAAAATTGCATGAAAGGTCTATGATTAGTATTTTCTCATGGAAATTGTATGGAAAATTATTAACATTTTAATTCTTCAGAATTTTTTGCCTGTGCCCGTAACTAAACACAAATGACATAAACCTTGGTTATCAAACGTAGTAACCAAATGTTTGGCCGTCTCGCATCAAACATGCATTGGTAACACCTACAAGAATCTGTCTCACACAATTAACGATGATTGTTTCTAAATTTAGTTTTTAATTATCGGACATTGATCAAGGCAAACAAAAGCCTGCCATACAAAAGAAAGAGGCGTTTTAAGCATTTTTGAAAAAGTTGTTAAGAGAAAAATAAAAAAAATCCCTTATTAGTATGTCCAAGACTACGTTATACACACAAAAAATGAATTTTGCATGCGAAATATTTTTTTCAATAGCAAAAAAATTTTATTTGCAATTTTTTATTTTATTTTTTTCAATACACCGAATTTTTTATTAGCAAAAAGTTGAAATTTATATGGCGAAATTGTTTTCATAGACTTTGTACATCTAACATACATCCACTTGAGTCCACTTCTGCCCAGACGGGTGATAAGCTCATCCCTCATCTTCTGTGAAGTCATACCCACTCTACTCTCCATATCAGACAACACACTCTTCACCACACTCTCTGTCTTCTCCTTATCAGTTGCATCATTTCAGTTTGATCAATTTGATGTCATTTGGACAATGAGAGGAACTAGAAATGAATGCGATTCATGGGCTCTGAAGTTGGCTTAACTGGTGAACAAGGCAAGGCGGTGTGTGGGAAAACAGGGAAACATAACAGATGAAAAGTGGTGCCATATATTGTGGTAGTTCATGTGATGGCAATATGGAAAGGAGAGATAGTGATGATGTGTTGAGAATATAGCATAGCACTTGAGTAGAGGGAGAGAGGGAGGGAGAGAGAGAGATGGGTGGGAGGAGTGAAGAAGAATGGTATAATGGATGAGTGTGTATTAGAGTATCCAATATATTGAGGTTGAAGTAGTCCACTGGTGTTACATGTTTAGTCTCCTGGGTAGATGAAACTAACGTAGATGAAGCCATATGTACAAACACGGCGACTCGGAATAGAATATAGATGCCCATATCCACCTCCTCTCCCCACTCTAACATACATCCACTTGAGTCCACTTCTGCCCAGACGGGTGATGAGCTCATCCCTCATCTTCTGTGACGTCATACCCACTCTACTCTCCATATCAGACAACACACTTTCCATCACACTCTTTGCCTTCTCCCTCTCCTCATCAGTTGTTTCTACGTAATTGTAGTCTGAGAATGGGACAGTGTAGATGTGCATGGTGTAGGGGTACTCTGTCTTGTTCTTCCACTCTGCTATCTCACCCACTCCATCTTTACACTTGACACTATAGTCACTGTCTTTATCACTGACATAGATCAACCAACAGCTCTCAGGGTATGCATTCATTAAGGCATCTCTGATCTCCTCTGCTGTATTATATGTGCCCTTCCCTCAACATTGTGTCCGCAGTCTTCTTCCTCTGAGCTGAAACAACACGCCACCTTTCTACATACACTTCCAAGCCACGTTCATTTCTTATACTTTTGAAAATCAACATTCTTATAATAATTTCGGCATCCTAATGGATCAGCTTGTTTATATTTTTATTCTTTTAGATATTTCTCTCAATTAATTAGTCTGTTTGTTTTTTCTTCAATTTAAAAATTGTTCTCTTTCAAGCTCATCTTTTTTGTTTAAGCAATGTTTCATCCTATAGCCTTACCCTCATGGCAATAATTGAAATAAATTGAAAACTGCAGCTGATAAATGAAGAGCGTATGATTCACATATAATATTATCAGAATGGATCTGTGTCGATGCCAGAGTTGGCTTGATGACTTCCATGCCACATTTAGATGAGCTCAAATTGTCTGTAATCTAATTGAAAAGAAAAGAGCAGCATGACGAATGAATTAAACAAACTATAATGACACATCTGTTTACCTTGGTTGGCCATTTCCTCTTTCTTCCTCTCCTCCGCCTTCTGTCTCTCAAACCTCTCCTCCACTTCTCGCTCCTGCTTCTTAATCTGCTCCTGCTTTGCATTCAGCTTCGCCTCTTGCTCCTCCCTCTCTCGTCTGAACTGCTCTTCCATCTTTTGCTGCTGCAACTTCAGCTGCTCAATTTGATCCGCCAACTTGGAATTGTTTTGTTCAGTTACCAACTTCGCCTCCTGCTCCTATTGCTGTTTCTGAACTCTCTCCAGTTTGTCTTCAAGTGCCTGTTTGTCCTTCTTGCTTTGGTCGTCGAACTGTTTTTGCAACTTGTCATGTTCTGCATGTTTCTTCAGCAGTTGATTGAACATGTCTTGTTTCAGCTTCTCAACTTTCGCCTCTAACATTTCCCGAACCTTCTTTCTTTCCTCGGCCAGTTTCGCCAGCTCCGACACGTGTTTCTTCTCCATTCTATCACGATCTTCTTCAGTTTTTCGCTTCAAAGTTTCCATCTGCTGCGAGAATTGTCTTTGCATCTCTCTCAACTCCTGTTGTCTGAAACAGTTTTCCTCGTGGAAATGACAGTGCAAAAAGAGGCAGAGAATCTTATTTGTATCCTGCAAAATCAAAGGTAGAAATCGAGACTACTTGTTTATATTTTAGTCAAAGCTCATTAAAACGGAATGTTTGTGCTTGGGTCATTTTTTATCTAGACAAATTTTGTCCTTTAGGAAGCTTTTGACCAAGTGTTCTTACACATTTTGGCAGAAGTTGATTTCCAGGGCATCACATTTCATCAATTTTTGCTAAGTTATGAGGATCTGATTTAGAAAAGATGCTGTTTTGATCAAATTAATAGTGAGATCCATAGTTTCGAGCTTGACATCAGAGGGCCACTATATACAAAAGTTTGAGCTGGTTATTGCCTTCAAATTGGGAGACGTCAAGTTATTATGTTATAAGTTAGTAAGTGTGGCGTGGCAGATGTTTGCCCTAGAGCTTTTAAAGCGTAAGCGGCAAACTAAATCAATCCGAACTGAATTGAGGGAAGTAAGTTGCTCTGAATAACACATGGAAGAAGTGATTGCAAAACCTTCTTTATTATAAAACTACCAAAGGACTGACCCCAAACTCAGGTATTTGACCCTCGGTCCTTTTGTTAGTTTTCAGAAGTATCAAAATCAAACTGTATTTTTTAAAGAAGAAACATGCGCTTCACCTGCGTTCTTCCTCCTTTCTTCTCTGCTGCTCCATTTCTGCCAGCCGCTTTTCCTTCTCTTCTATTTCCCGTTTCAGTTTCCTCGATTCTGTCTCCACCTTCTTCACATCTTCTGTGTTCAGGGGGGGGCGCCCTTTCCACCATCTTCCACAGTTCTTGCATTGCCTTCTGGAAGGCCTCCTCCCTCCTCCTCCCGATCACTAGTGTCTCTGCACGAGTCTACTATGTGGTATTTGCGTCCCTTACCTCTGGGAAACTTATCCTGCACGGACTTTATGTATTTGGCCGCCAATTGAGCGTCGGTTTGTTTGGTGATTCGTTTTCGTGATTCGATACTTCGTGAATCCATTGGTAGCCGAGTAAAAACTATCACAGCTTGCGACCAAAACTTCGCACCAAACATGCCTTCAAAAATCCGAATCATTCCGTTGAGGCTCCCATCTAGCCGAGGCTCTTGTCCATTCACAGCTATTACAAATAGGTTCACATGATCGCATTTGGTTCTTAGTTTGATCACGAGTTCGGAGATGATGGTGGCGTCCGTATCCCTTTCGGGGTCGTCGAAGCCCACTGTATCAATTAGGGATACGGGCGTCTCCCTACTTCCATTAAAAAAGACGTTGCCAAAGGTGGTTGTGCCGGTACACCCTTGTGCCTCTGCGGAAACTGGGAACAGGTCTGCGTCGTGGGCTTTGCCTGCCACCACATTACACAGGCTACTTTTGCCTGTCCCTGTCTTGCCCACAATCAGCACTTTCTTGAACGTGTTCCCGTTGATGTCTTCGACAAGACTGCTACTCTGAGGTCCTCTTGACACTTCGCTGCTCCTCGCCGCCACTTCTAACAAAATAGCAAAATTAGCACAACCCTTTTTGTTTGAAGTTGTCTTGACCCATAAAAGATCTCAATTCAATGAAGCGCTTTAGAAAGTTGAGTTTTCACTTAGAGTGGTCACTCATAAAACAATTTCAGATAAGGTACACCGTCTGCTCGTCACACTATCTTATTTTCGGCCGGATAGATTCGTGCAACTTCTTAGTCTAATACCAATCTTAATCTTACTCTCCTAGTCTCAATAAATCTAGTGTATAATGGTCTTTGCGGGTTAGATATTTTGAACTTGTTTCAAAGGAGACCAACTGTCTTCAGATTGTCAAGTCATATTCAGATTGTTTTGGTGCTGAAACTACAAGTAGTTTCAGCACTACAAATAATTGTCAGTGATAGTTATGGACTATGATTCAAAGCATAAAACTAAAGGTAGACAAGTTTCAATCTTCAAAGAAAAGCATTAAAGGTACATACCACCCACTAATCAGGGGTGGGAGAAAAAGAAGAGGGGAGAAGGGATAAAAGCAGTCATTCAAAGCATAAAACTAAAGGTAGACAAGTTTCAATCTTCAAAGAAAAGCATTCAAGGTACATACCCCCCACTAATCAGGGGTGGGAGAAAAAGAAGAGGGGAGAAGGGATAAAAGCAGTCATTCAAAGCATAAAACTAAAGGTAGACAAGTTTCAATCTTCAAAGAAAAGCATTCAAGGTACATACCCCCCACTAATCAGGGGTGGGATGAAAAAGAAGAGGGGAGAAGGGATAAAAGCAGTCATTCAAAGCATAAAACTAAAGGTAGACAAGTTTCAATCTTCAAAGAAAAGCATTCAAGGTACATACCCCCCACTAATCAGGGGTGGGATGAAAAAGAAGAGGGGAGAAGGGATAAAAGCAGTCATTCAAAGCATAAAACTAAAGGTAGACAAGTTTCAATCTTCAAAGAAAAGCATTAAAGGTACATACCACCCACTAATCAGGAAGTCTCTGTGGGCGAAAACAGATTGGGCGTGAATGGCTGGTCACATGGCTGTCTTTTGTCACAGGATCCTAACAATTGGAAGTCTCTGGGGGCGAAAATAGATGGGGCGTAAATGGCTGTTCACATGGCTGTCTTTTGTCACAGGATCCTAACAATTGGAAGTCTCTGTGGGCGAAAATAGATGGGGCGTGAATGGCTGGTCACATGGCTGTCTTTTGTCACAGGATCCTAACAATTGGAAGTCTCTGGGGGCGAAAATAGATGGGGCGTAAATGGCTGTTCACATGGCTGTCTTTTGTCACAGGAACCTAACAATTGGAAGTCCCTGGTGGCGAAAATAGATGTGACGTAAATGGCTGGTCACATGGCTGTCTTTTGTCACAGGATCCTAACAATTGGAAGTCTCTGGGGGCGAAAATAGATGGGGCGTAAATGGCTGGTCACGCTGTCTTTTGTCACAGGATTCTAACAATTGGAAGTCTCTGGGGGCGAAAATAGATGGGGCGTAAATGGCCGGTCACGCTGTCTTTTGTCACAGGATCCTAACAATTGGATGTCTCTGGGGGCGAAAATAGATGGGGCGTAAATCGCTGGTCACGCTGTCTTTTGTCACAGGATCCTAACAATTGGAAGTCTCTGGGGGCAAAAATTGATGAGGCGCAAATGGCTGGTCACATGGCTGTCTTTTGTCACAGGATCCTAACAATTGGAAATCTCTGGGGGGCGAAAGTAGATGGAGCGTAAATGGCTGGTCACGCTGTCTTTTGTCACAGGATCCTAACAATTGGAATTTAGGATTTTAAAAAAATATATATTTAATATGGCCAACGGGTTTTTTCTCAGATAATTTTTGATCAGGAAGGATTTGAGAAAAATTTTGTTATAAGTTGAACTTTCTTTTTGCGTGTTTCTGTTTTTTTTCAAGTTTAAACAAAATTGAATCTTATGCACAACTGTAACCATAATCAAACAAATTTACCTAATAAGTTCATAAAGATCTTTGCAACATTTTTCAATCGAAGTTTTTTGACGATGTATCATATCCCGTACCGAAGTTTTACGGGTAATAATCGTTTATAATGGATTTTCATTGACTAAAATTTTGTTCATATAATCGATTATAATCGATTATTTTGGAAAAATTCAAATCCATTATAATCCATTATATTCGATTATATTCCATTTTTGTTTTCAATTAAATGGTTTATTTTTCGTACATAAAATCCATGGAAATTGAATAAGCTTTGCAAATAATGACTCTAATTTTTGCCAATTTCTGCAAAACTCGAACGAACACGTTCATCCAGGGGCGACCATTAAGTAGCAATTTTCCAAAAAGTGCCCAAAAACATCGTTTTTGACAAGTTCCTCATGTCAACACCACCCCCCCCCCCCTCAACGTACCCCCCCCCCCCACCCACGTAACACCCGAACCCCCCCCCCCCCCCCCCAACGTACCCCCTCACGTACCCCCATCTACCCACATACCCCACAACCACGACGTACCCCCCTCTCTCTAGTTAGGGGACATCTAACTGTAGTACGGGTAAGCGTGGGGGGGGGGGGGGGGGGGGTTGGTGTGGGATCTGTAGGTAACTTTGTAATTTTTCATAAAAATTATTGAATATAGGAAAAAGAGAAATTAAGCGAGAGAACAAAATAACTAAATTAAGTTTATCAAAATTATGAAAAAATGAAAACAACACACAAAATAATTTGAATAAATAGATTATAATCCAATATAATCGATTCAAATGGATTATTTTTCTTTTGATAATTTTTTTTTGAAAATAATCGATTGTAATCGATGATAATCGATTATATTGGGATTTTATTGCTGAAAATAATATTATCATTATAATCCATTTTCAATCGATTTTAATCAATTATTTTTGTTATTTTATAGACTGACAATGAAAATCCAATATAATCGATGATTGTTCATGAAACTTCAGTGCGGGATTGCCTGTATTTTTTTGCTTCAGTTGTAACAAGGAAGTTGGAGTTATCACTTTGCAACAGTTGGACGGTCATGCTATCATATTGTGAGCTCCTCCAATTTTTATTTCTTCAAGATTTCTAAAAGTTCTTGAAACATGAAGCTTCAAATTATATCGGGAAATTGTTTATACTGCAGTTTTAACAAAATCTTTATAGACGAGTAGAAAAAGTAAAGCCATCTTTTTAAACGTAGTTTTTCTAGATAAGCATTACAAAAACTTTAAACTATGAGAATGATTGGATGTTTTCCATTTCAACTTTATCAATGACTCCTCAATACTATAGTAATTTAGGCACTTTTCAACTCATTCTAGCTTATCAAGTATTTTTCTCAGAATTGGCTAGAACAATCAATGGCTTTTACAATTTTGAACTTTGAACTGGTGCACATCAGGCGCTATCATAATATCATCGATTTTTCAATAATACAAATTCAACAAAAACAATCGAGACTGAAAAATTAAAACCAGTTCTTAAGTCTTGCTGTTATAAGTGTATTTATCCCTTTCAAGCTTAGCAAGGTTTCCTAAGACGTGAAACTAGGATTTAGATTTCTAAGTCATGGCATTTTATTGATGTAATTTTCGCTTGAAATTAATAAATATTTTCGCTCAAACTTCATGCCTTCTTGATAGTTGCTCTTTTCTCAGTTCACTGTAAGCGAAACCTGTTAGGATTTCAAACATAGCCAATCGAAGATTGAAAAAGAGTACTGAAAAAAATACTGTCTTTGTTGAAAAAATTTCAACTTTCGAACTTCAAAGAAAAAAATGTATGCGCGTTAAGCTCTTTGAATTTCTAGAACAATATAGCTTTGTCACTTTTTTGATAACATTAACCCAACTTGAGAAATCTGGATCAATAGGTGAAGTTTTATTCCGCTGGGAATCTATAAAAAAATTCCACTCTCGAAACTAGAAATCGTTCACGTTTTTTCGCGCCGTTTTTGAGAGTGCTAATTACGTCACTTTCAGCAGATGAATTTCAACTGAACTCAACAAGTGCATATATACCTAAGTGCATTCATAAATGCATCAATATGTATAAATGCACATCTGTAGTTATTAGAGACTCTTAAGACTTTTCCTGAAAAAGAAAACAAAAAAAATAGCAAGACCTATATAAGAGTTCACTACGTTCATTATTCTTAAACATTTCGATTAAAAACTAAATTATTCTATCCAAACGTCAAGGATTTTTCTTTAATTTCGAAATTACTCATAATGAAAAAAAAAGCTTTCTTATGTGACTAGTTTCTCTGAAACGTTTCAATCAGGGATTCGACCCCCTGCCGACTCAAAGGAAAGGGTCCACCTTTGTACTATTTTGAGATACTCAATTTTGGCTGAATGAGCCTGAAATTTTTTTAAAGGCGCCTTCGACGTCAATATATACTAGCCTTGAGTGGGTATCGCGAGCCGAAAAAACGCAATTTTTTCAAAAAAAGACAAACGCTTTTTGGCCTATTTTTTTCGAAAAAGTGCATGCGGCGCAGACAATTTGATCATTATAGACTCTTTATAATGATTTAAGAGAGCTCAGAAAAAAAATGGAAGGTTTTTTTTTCTGAAAATCAGCCCGTCCTCCTGCCTCCTCCCCTCGCTCCCCCTCGAGAAAATCCTAGATCGGCCCCTGCTTGTAGTAATTTTTTTCAAGCAACCACAAAAAAGTGTTCAAGTTTTTGAGTTATTAAATCGATTTTCTAAATTTTGTCGAAAAAATAAGGCTTGAGTACCATTTCACAAATCTTTTCAAAATAAAAAAAATGATTGAATTGAACCTTAATTGCCAATATCATAGATCAATGTCTAGTTGCATTTTCATGGCTAATCGCAAATATTTTTGTTCAAGTCCTTTTTGAGTCTTAAAAAATTAGACACAAACAAAAAGAGCATCTGCAGCGTTTGAATAGTTTTGAGTCCAATTTATTTGTGGCAATTTTAGGAAGGAATTTCAGCTCCAAGAACACATCTCTAATAAATTTATTTTGTTTATTGAATAAATTTTTTTTCAATCTAGTTTTCTTTTTTAAGTTCCGGCTTAATCAATGTTTTGAACAAAATTGTCATTCCTGTTCTCAAGTTTGGTTGCTGTATCTCTTTTATTTGCCAAGATAAGGAAAAAATAACAGAAACAAGTATAGCCGGCTTTTGTACGAGTAGCAGAAAATGTAACCGAACATGTTCTTATGAAATTAAATTTGAAAATGCATGTTTTTCAAATCGAGTTTTTTTTCGTGCTGGGTGTGATGAAAGGATTTGACGAAAGCCTAAAAATTGGGCATTGAGTTATATCCTTTTGGGTATACTCATAGAGTAATTTCAGATAAGGTACACCGTCTGCTCGTCACACTATCTTATTTTCGGCCGGATAGATTCGTGCAACTTCTTAGTCTAATACCAATCTTAATCTTACTCTCCTAGTCTCAATAAATCTAGTGTATAATGGTCTTTGCGGGTTAGATATTTTGAACTTGTTTCAAAGGAGACCAACTGTCTTCAGATTGTCAAGTCATATTCAGATTGTTTTGGTGCTGAAACTACAAGTAGTTTCAGCACTACAAATAATTGTCAGTGTTAGTTATGGACTATGATTCAAAGCATAAAACTAAAGGTAGACAAGTTTCAATCTTCAAAGAAAAGCATTAAAGGTACATACCACCCACTAATCAGGGGTGGGAGAAAAAGAAGAGGGGAGATGGGATAAAAGCAGTCATTCAAAGCAAAAAACTAAAGGTAGACAAGTTTCAATCTTCAAAGAAAAGCATTCAAGGTACATACCCCCCACTAATCAGGGGTGGGAGAAAAAGAAGAGGGGAGAAGGGATAAAAGCAGTCATTCAAAGCATAAAACTAAAGGTAGACAAGTTTCAATCTTCAAAGAAAAGCATTAAAGGTACATACCACCCACTAATCAGGGGTGGGAGAAAAAGAAGAGGGGAGAAGGGATAAAAGCAGTCATTCAAAGCATAAAACTAAAGGTAGACAAGTTTCAATCTTCAAAGAAAAGCATTCAAGGTACATACCCCCCACTAATCAGGGGTGGGATGAAAAAGAAGAGGGGAGAAGGGATAAAAGCAGTCATTCAAAGCATAAAACTAAAGGTAGACAAGTTTCAATCTTCAAAGAAAAGCATTCAAGGTACATACCCCCCACTAATCAGGGGTGGGATGAAAAAGAAGATGGGAGAAGGGATAAAAGCAGTCATTCAAAGCATAAAACTAAAGGTAGACAAGTTTCAATCTTCAAAGAAAAGCATTAAAGGTACATACCACCCACTAATCAGGGGTGGGAGAAAAAGAAGAGGGGAGAAGGGATAAAAGCAGTCATTCAAAGCATAAAACTAAAGGTAGACAAGTTTCAATCTTCAAAGAAAAGCATTCAAGGTACATACCCCCCACTAATCAGGGGTGGGATGAAAAAGAAGAGGGGAGAAGGGATAAAAGCAGTCATTCAAAGCATAAAACTAAAGGTAGACAAGTTTCAATCTTCAAAGAAAAGCATTCAAGGTACATACCCCCCACTAATCAGGGGTGGGATGAAAAAGAAGAGGGGAGAAGGGATAAAAGCAGTCATTCAAAGCATAAAACTAAAGGTAGACAAGTTTCAATCTTCAAAGAAAAGCATTAAAGGTACATACCACCCACTAATCAGGGGTGGGAGAAAAAGAAGAGGGGAGAAGGGATAAAAGCAGTCATTCAAAGCATAAAACTAAAGGTAGACAAGTTTCAATCTTCAAAGAAAAGCATTCAAGGTACATACCACCCACTAATCAGGGGTGGGAGAAAAAGAAGAGGGGAGAAGGGATAAAAGCAGTCATTCAAAGCATAAAACTAAAGGTAGACAAGTTTCAATCTTCAAAGAAAAGCATTCAAGGTACATACCCCCCACTAATCAGGGGTGGGATGAAAAAGAAGAGGGAAGAAGGGATAAAAGCAGTCATTCAAAGCATAAAACTAAAGGTAGACAAGTTTCAATCTTCAAAGAAAAGCATTCAAGGTACATACCCCCCACTAATCAGGGGTGGGATGAAAAAGAAGAGGGGAGAGGGGATGAAAGCAGCCATGCAAAACACAAATTAAAAGCGCTTAGAAATGGCGTTTATGTGTGAGTTCCAAATGAGATTTTGGTTATAACAGATTCTGGTTGAAACTGCTGAGAGCGGCTGTAGACCAGACTCAAATGTGGAGACAGTTATGTTTTGAATGAGTGATCAAGAGTTGTTTTTGTTGAGAGTGTCTCTGTTCCAGGCGGAGATGGGATCCCAATGTTCTCTCTCACATCTCAGACAACAACAGCAGCTGCCGAAACAGAGAACCCTAACAAACACCCATGCGGGAAGTGTGGGCGGGGGGACACTTCCCTGCAGATTGAGTAGAATCAGTAGCAATTCTAACCAGGGCACCAGGTGCAAAGGAGGGGCGATGGGAGGGGGAGGAGATGAAAGAGAGCAGCAGCAGAAATACATATCCCCGAAAGCAGAAGAGAGCCAGCACAGTCCAGGTCCAGACACTCACTCCCACACCCATTCAAACAATCCAAACAGGTACGTATAGTCAATCAACCATGTCAACAAGAATAATTGAAGAGTCTGATTGTTTCACTGAACTATCTGAGCCTATTCTGAACACGTTTCAATGTTAAAGCTTGTTTTTTTTTGTAAAAAGCCGAAAATTTGTCTTTGCCCCTTTTCAGCTTCTAAAAAATCAAGTGAAAGTCCAATTGTGTGTCGCAGCAATTTGACTTGCACGTCCGCGTAATTGTTTCTTTTTTGAGTGCAGCTGAACTACTTTTGTGACATCAATTAGGTGTTCATTGATTTGTCTTCGATGAAAGGTGAAACTGTGCATAGATTCTTCAGGGCTAATCGAATGATTTTATAGTAATTTTTATTTCAGCCATAACAGCAACAAAATTCCCCAATCGACATCAAGCAACCACCCCACCAATGAGAGTCAGAGTCAGAATCAGAACCCCCACCCCCACCCCCACTCCCACAGACCCCCACCGCCTAAAAACAACAACAACAACAACAAAAACAGCAGCAGTTGCCAATCAGGGGGGACAGTGGAGCTGGTGGCGAATGGAAGTGTCCCCACTGGAACAGCCACCCCTACTTCCGAACTCCCCCATCCTCCTCCTAATCAACCCCACCATCAGTATGCAAACAACACTCCGGGTCAGTACCTGGACTGGATCCATTTCCAATACTGATATTCCCAGAAAAACACAACTGCTCCACATTGCTTCCACTGGCTCGTCGTTCCAATCGCGACTTCAGCGACGTCGTTGAAAATTGCGCCGCTTTTCTTTCTGTTTTTTATTTCCGAATGCTTAAATCTAAATTTTGCTGGTCTAAGGATGGTCAATGTTGAACTCTTAGAATTTCAATTCACAACAAGACTGCTCGTATCAGGGCGAAGCCATGAATGTTCCGACTGCCTCTTAAGGTCTATCAAGCAGTAATAATATTAAAAATTAAATGAAATAAAACAAAATGAAAATTTTTTCCCTAAAGTTTAAAATTTTTTGTGAAATTCATCCCCCCACGCGCCAGAAAAAGTACAAAGGGATAGAGTTTGCTCCTTGTAACAAATCAATTATGGTAAAAAAGCTTCTTTCAACCAATTTGGAACGATTTATAGGACGGATTAAATCTCCGCTTACGCGTTAATAGCGCGAATTATATCGCGAGTTAATTGTCCCAAATTGGTCAAAATGGCAATCTTTAAACCCTAATAAAAAATTTACCAAAATTGATCACAGGTGAAATATCTTTTCAAATTTAAGCTCAGGACAACAATACCTTTTAAATGATATAAAAAATTTCCGTCAAAAATGGCTAGTTAAAAAGTCGAAATTTGTCTGAAGAAAAAAAAACCCACCCCGAGCACAAATATTCCGTTACTTTCGTATCGAAAGTCGGAACAATAAGTAGCCTCTTCTCCAGTACTGTTTGGGAAAATTTGCACACTGACTTTGCAGAATTCATCCTCTCCAATCATCAATGTTGAAGTGGTCAAATCAGTGACAGGAAAAAACTTTCAGTACTGAAGCAGTAATTTATGATTCATCTCAGAGCAGGGCTGATTTTTTTCTGTAACAGTGCTGAAGAAAATTAATTGTTAATTTATCTCTGTTTGATTGCAACCCGAGATTATATTTTCAGTTAGAATCAGAATTGCTTTCAGGGCTTAAGGAAAACAAGTATTTTCGTCAAAATAAGTCAGTTTGAAATTTGACAACTTTACCTGGTTTGAATTAGTAACGATTATATTCCCATGTTGACCAAAAATGCTAATCATAACACTTTTCATGCAATTCCATAAGTACAGAAAATTGCATGAAAGGTCTATGATTAGTATTTTTCCATATATGGAAATTGTATGACTAGCATTTTTCCATAAAACAAACATATTAATTTTTAACATTTTGATTTCTCATGATTTTTTGGGTGTGCTCCCAAGCATACACAAATGACATAATCCTTGGTTATCAAACGTAGTAACCAAGGGTTTGATCGTCTCGCATCAAAGATGTTTTGGAAACTGCCTGCAACTTCGTAACTCTGTTTCACAAAATTAATATAACGAAAGTATCTAACTTTTAAATTTTGGCAAAGATGATTGTTTCTAAAAATTGAATTTTTTCTAATTATCGGACATTGATCAAGGCAAACAAAAGCATGCCATAAAAAAGAAAGAGGACTTTTAAGCCTTTTTGAGAAAATTTTTAAGAGAAAAATGAAACAATCCATTATTAGTATATCCAAGACTACGTTATACACACAAAAAATTAAATTTTGCAGGCAAAATATTTTTTTCCAAAAATTTTTTGTTTGAGTACGAAAATCATCTTGCGGTTGACAAATAAGTCAAAAAATACTGAAACATTTTTGTTGTTGCCATCAAAAAAGTTCTAGTCATACAATTTCCATATATGACTAGGAGAGAGGAACAGTATATGGAAATTGTATGATTAGCATTTTTTTGACAAAAGTTTTTCGTTTTTTTAGTACGATACACCCAATTTTTTATTAGCAAAATGTTGAAATTTGTATGACTAAATTTTTCCAGAGCCTTAGTTTATAGAATTGTATGAGTAGCATTTTTGGTCTAGGGAGGTCAACAAGGGTTTACAGAGCTCCAAAGCAATTGCATATGCATAGAAAAAATGATCATTAAAAATGGTGATGAGACTATTATTAAAATAATGATGGCTAATGCTGGAGAAAATGAATTACATCTCTGCAATAATGAAATCATATGTCATTTCAGTTTGATCAAATTGAAGTAATTTGGACAATGAGAGGAACTAGAAATGAATGCGATTCATGGGCTGTGAAGTTGGCTTAACTGGTGAACAAGGCAAGGCGGTGTGTGGGAAAACAGGGAAACATAACAGATGAAAAGTGGTGCCATATATTGTGGTAGTTCATGTGATGGCAATATGGAAATGAGAGATAGTGATGATGTGTTGAGAATGGTGAAGGCAGGGGCTCTTGTGGTACAGTTGGAGGAGGTCAGAGCATCCGGGAAGTACTCCCTCTCCTGCTCTTCTACACTGGCAGGTGCCAACCATCGGTGCAGTGGGTTCCTCACAATCATGACTTTCCGCATATTCAGCTTCTTCCCAATTTCCGACCGCAGTGTGTAATATTCGTCAGTAAACTAGAGAGAAAAGAGTATTTATTATTACACCGATGTGTTGCAGTCTTATGATTTTTTTAGTTGCAGGCCTTTCTTGACTGCTTGATTTTTGGAAAATGTCCAACGCAATGATTTCTGAACAGCTAAATTTTATATTTGTGGCCAATTTTTGCTTAAATAATAAACTCGAATTAAAAAAACTCGAAAATAACAAAAATGGTTCTGGAAAGTAAAACTGCGGAAAAAAAGCAAATAGTTTTTAAAATAATTACATTAAGGTTTGAAAAAGATTCCAAACTTAGAAAATATGTACTCTCGTTGCGTAGGGAAACAAATCATGCCGAAATTAGATATGAGGTCGAGTATTTCATACTTCAATGGGCAAAGACTGACCGCCCCAATGCTTCCAGTCCCAATATCGGGCTCCGAGTTTTTCGTGCGTATCATCATTAGCCGGATCATATTTTTGGAGCAGCAGTTCAAACTCCATCATCAGGGTACGATGCCAAACGATGAACTGTGGCTCGCCATGCCAGCAAAACATGTAGGTGAAAGGGGAGACCGAATTACTATTTGGATCTCCCTCTTTTCCGTAATACTTGGGCTCTGCCGCATTGGGAACTGGCTCTGGCCAGTATTGGTTGTCTGGCCACACTCCTCCATAGTGATCCTTCAAATCTGCCTCTACCTTTTTCCTCATGATTTCCTTGAAGTTGCGGGGGGTGGTGTTCTCGTTTGTTCCTCCCCCACCTCCATGCATGCCTATAATATTTTAAATAATGCAAATTTTGACTCAATTTCACTCATTTTTTACTTTTCTTTGAAATACTCTGAAAACCGAGATTTTCAAGTGTTTTTATGGACAGTGATAATTAGTTGTTTAGATTTTTTTTATCAAAAACGTCTCAAAAGCTATCAGTAGTTAAATGAGTAACCATCCCGGCATTTGGGGGTTTCCACATTTTGACAATTTAGAAAAAAAATCTTCTTTTCGGCGCACAGAAAGGTGCTCATGTTCAGACATGTTCATAGTTGTTCATCGGAGACTAAAATGAAACCGCAAAACAAAAAACTCAAAGTGGTTGAAGGTCACGAATTAATTGTATACCCCCCCCCCCCCCCCCCAAAAAAAAGTGCGATCAAAAATTTCCAGCTAGGTAATTTTTTTAAGCAAAAATTCAACTCGGAAAAAATCAAACTTGTGAGAATGCTAGTTTGTTCTGACTCAGCAAGAAAAAGTAAGTGAATAAATTGAATTGAAACAATTATTTTTTTAAAAATTCAAAGTAACTTTTTAACAACAAAATGCACAAGTTTTTCACGCACAAATGAATTTCAAAATAAACCTATTGAAAGCGACGGGTTGTCTTTGATTTTCAGCAGCAGCAAAATGAGATTGTATATCGATGATCTAAAACATCTGCAGCTCTTAAGCGAGCTGGTATTGTTAATCCGAAAAATTTGACTAGAAACGTTTTCTAAGTGGCTCGGCGTTGTCTTTTTTTGCCCCACAGTCTATGTATGGGTTGTTCAAATATCGTTTCTCCTGAATAGGCGTTTAGCAGTCAACTATATCATTTTTTATATCATTTTCATCACTGTTAACTGACGCTGTCTGCCACAATCCTGGGTCAGGGGGAACGAAATTGACAAAACTTTCGTTGTCACTTGAAGATGCTTCTGACCGGCTGGAGTCATCATATCTACACACAGATGTGTCTTCGAACTGCAACTCATCGATTGATTTATGCTCTTCTGGAAAGTGTTTTTTCAGAGCAATTTTTTAATAACCATAAAATAATGAACGTATGTCATCTTCCGCGTAATACCTTTTGTTGTCGTAAGGTGACAATGCAGTTTTGTTGACTTCTTCGAGCGAAAGGACGTGGTTTTCAATTTTTACTGTTTTCAGATCAGCTCGGATAGTCTTTTTTTTTATCAAACAGCACTGATTTGAAACGTTCGTGATGAAGAGTGGTCTTCACTGTTCTGTTCACTCCCTTTAGCACTTTGTTTGGTTTTTGAGTTTTCGCCTTTTTTGTGAGCAATTGAGTAGGTCTTAGGTTTCAAAAAAACAGCTTCCATTACAATGCACCCATTCGAGTCGCCTGAGAATTTTAGTAGTTAAATAAATAATCATCTCGGCATATAGGGCTTCCGACGTTTTGACATTTTGAATAAAAAAATCTTCTTTTCGGCGCACAGAAAAGCGTTAATGTTCAGACATGTTCATACTTGTTTATCGGAGACTAAAATGAAACTGCAAAACAAAAAATTCAAAGTGGTTGAATGTCACAACTTGTTTGTATACACCCCCCCCCCCCCCCAAAAAAAAGTGCAATCAAAAACTTCCAGCTAGGTGATTTTTTAAGCAAAAAATCAACTCGGAAAAATTCAAACTTGTGAGAATGCAAATGCCAACTTGTTTTGACTCAGCAAGAAAGAGTCAGTGGAGAAAGTGAATTGAAACAATTATTTAAAAAGTATCTTCAAAGCAACAAAATGCACCAGTTTTTCACACAAATGAATTTCAAAATTAATGCATTGAAAGTGACGGATTGTCTA